CAATGACTACTGCTTCCTTATTAAGGCAAACAAGAACTCGAGGCCAAATTACCACAAGTTTATATCAATGGACTACACCCTAAATACCTGGAAAATACTAATTGAGTAAATACAGAAAGGGGAGAATTTATTTTAAATTGTGGGTTTCTTTTAGTCAACACACCTTGACATTTCTGGCTTCATGGCTGAGTGCTTTGATAGGCCATGTTTTACATAATTATAATGGTGGTATTTTTACACATTTTCCCTTGGCTAAAAATATATTTATTTATACTGACCGCAAATTGCCAATCCCGATGGCATGTCAGTTTAATGGAAAAGTGGAAAATACAAAACCAGAGTGACAAAGCAAAAATGCACCAACACGCTTAAAGAGAATATAGTAGAAGAAAAAGGGCTTTCGCATATTGTTTGTTAGGCTGTAATAGCCAGACTGATAAATAAATATGTCACCAATGCTAGAAAATCCAATTTAAACAGGGCTTTCTGGTAAACTTTAAGATTGAAATTTGTAATGTATCGCACATAAACCTTACAGTTTTTACCTATCATTAACACATGGTATGTTAAATTATATATATATATATTGCTGTTCAGGATTCAAGTATTTTTTTTTTGGTGTTCCCTTTCAAACCACTTTCACTCAAACATCCTCCTTATGTTGCTATCAATAACAATATCACATGGTCCTTCCTACCAACGATTCCCCAGCTAACCACGTCAAGGGGTCAGTGACACAAAGACGTAACTCCATTTTGGCCATTTTGAGAAAAAATGGTTTATACATGTCACTGAGCACTTGGGCCTTAAGGAGTTGAGTCTTTGTTTCACTAGCCATTGACTTCAATGGGGTGTTGGGTGGAGTTAGGTTTTTGTGTTTCCTGGAAAGCCCACATTTTTCTGAACATTTTGATATCAAATACTCATTTTTGCAAAATATGGAGTTGCGTCTTATGTGTCACTCAACCCTCAATGTTTTCTACTGGTATTGCTACCAGGGACATCCTCCTACAATGATAACATATTAACACTTCACTTCCCATATCCTGAATAAAACAAGTCATACAACGATGCTACGACTCTTACTGCTCCTGGGTCTATACACCATAGCATACTGAGAGAGATAGTTGGGATAAGCACAGCACTCCGTATGCGTGTGCGTGTCACAACTATCTCTCTCAATACACTCTGTCCTACATTAAACAAATTCTCAATTTCAACCCTAAACCAAACACTACATGCCTAACCCTGACCCTAAACCTTACTTAAAACAAAACTGCAACCCTAAACCTAACCTTATATCTTTGATGAAATAAGACCTGGAGAACGAACAACTACTAGAGCAAATGTTGGAGCACTCATAAAACATTTGTACGACACATTCTCCTGCAACAATTGCTCCACAGCCAATATTCTGTACAAATTCTGAATTTCAACCCTTGACCAAACACTACATGCCTCACCCTGAACCTTACCTAAAACAAACCGCAACCCTAACCCTAATCCTGAACCTCTTACCAGTGCATTCGTTACCGGAGCTAATGTCGGAAGACCCATCAAAACAACTTGACATGATACAAGATACAAACAGGCCCTCTTCAGGATATACCATTACAAGGAGATGGTCGTATTCTATTTCCAAGGATCCTACACCACGACAACTTGCGGAAAATATCAACAACAGTTCACAAAACAGCTTCCTATATTGATGTAAAAACAACATCTTGACAGTTCATTTAGGACAAAGTGTGAAGTCTATCCTTACAGGGGGGGGGGGGGTGTTTCACAAAGATCCTAAGTTGGATTTATCTCTAAGTTGGACTTAAAAATTATGGAGAGCCATAAGAGCCTTAAAATAAAATATATTGGAAAGTGAAAATTCAAGTATTTTAGACTTTTTATAAATTCCCCATCAAGAACATGAAATCTCCCATGATTAATAGAAAATACGGATGATTTGAATCAACATTTTGTGCCTTTTAAAATAACTTTTACAAAATATTTTCAAAAATGATAACAGCTTTCCATAATTGTTAAGTCCAACTTAGAGATAAGTTCAACTTAAGATCTTTGTGAAACACCCCCAGGTCTTACCGCTGTTCTCATCTTCCTTTGCTGCACCCCCTCTTTCATACTATCATCACTGAAACCAGTCATCCAATTCACAAAATATATTTTAGGGATATTTTCTCCTAAACTGGTTTTATATACCACCATCATTCCATCTGTTGAGGGTCAGAAGGGTGCAGTAACTTGTATACTTCATTACAGAGTTACTGCCCTTCTTGCTTTCATGAGGAAATTTATTTGTATTTTACAAAGTTAAATGCACATGTTTTGGATTTGTCAATGTTTATAATTGTTTTTCCCTTGTTCTTTTTGTCCTCTCCACCTATGTTACTCTCATGTTATACATTGATCATGTTTTGTAACTTTCATACGTCTGTTTACCTTTGAATATTTCTAATGAAAGCTTTTGATCACAACACAAGTTAACACTGAACTTTACCATTCGACATTTGGGTAATTCTTTCTCATTCTCAATAAGATAAAATAAAGTAAATATTCACTTACCTGTTCAGTTGATGAAGTAGAGATGGACAATAAGATGTTCATGGAAAGAAAAAAAGAAAGGTAAAACAATTGGTTAGATAAAGTATCAATCATGCTCAATATGTCTTTGCGTAATTATAGAGTAATAAAGATATTCTACTTTCCTCTTTTCACTTTAAAAGTAACCTCACTTATTTTTTCCTTCTCTCCCTCTCTCTATAGCCTCTGTCTTACTAGTCTACCATTCTCTCTCTCTCTTCATTTCTTCTTACTTATGTCAGAATTTATAAGGAGGTGAAGGAGATAATAATTATAAAAGGCATTTCTATAGCGCCGTCTATCTAGAAATTCTATTCCGAGGCGCACTTATTATTACCCCGGCTTTTATAGTCTAGCTGCCATTACAGGGCTCTAGCATTTCAAGGAATCATTTCCTGCCAGGTACCCATTTACCTCACCTGGGTCAAGTGTGGCAAATGAAGATTAATGCCTTGCCAAAGGGATCAAACCACGACCTTTGAATTTCAAGTCAATTTCTTAAACCACTGACTACGAAATGAAGGAAACGAAGGAGATGGAGAAATGAAGAACGATGGTAAAAAGATAACAAGGTCATCTCAGATAGGTTGAAATTACAGAAAACTGCTTTTTTGCCCCAAAACACACTTCAAGTATTTCACCCTCATACAATATGAGGGGTACTCTGAAAACTAGACTAAGGGGTCATGAGAGCTTGTCCACCCAGACCAATCAGTGTAGAGTTTCACAAAATGATACCAGTCTGTATCCGAGATAGTCTAAGAATTCAGACATGCCAAAATGGACACTTTGAAATACATGCAATGCAAGTTCTGCCATTCACGATATGAGGAATACTAATCACTGTGCATGTTTTATTAACTCATAGCCTGCCATGAGGCTGCATGCACGCTACCTATTGAGTGCCATGTGCGTGCAAGGGCGCATTCATAGTAGCAGTTATTGTTCATGCTCATTGGGCTATGCTGTGTGTTTCGCACTCGCCATTCATAGAACCATCGCGTTAATCAGATTATCTCCAAAACAATTGGCACAGTGGGGATTAGCCCTGTGGCACGATAAGAGTTAAAACTAGTGTACTGTCAGCATTGGTGTTTGTTTTGTATCAGTGATAAAATCAAACTTTGCACAAAATTAAAAAAAAGCATGCTGATGTGGGTATTTCCATTTAGTAGGGTACCAAACTGTGACATGGGACCTAAATTTTCAAAATGTTTAAATCTTATGAAAAATGTCATATTCAATTGTCAAAACATCCACACTTTCAGAAAAAAGTGGTCATTTAATCCCTTTGTCCCGTGACTTGATGTTAATATCAACCGAAACAGAACTTCACAAGGCATGTTTCACGTGTAAAGTGGGAAAAAGGGACACCAAAGTAAAAGTGTCTTGGTGCTCTATCAGTGACTTGTTATTAGTATCATGGAGTCTTTTTGCCAGGTTAATACTTTGTTGTAAGCACTTTATTCATGAAACAAATGCCAATGTCTATTCATTTGATGCAAATAAATGGCACCAATACACATTTTGGGCATTTTAAACAAAAAATGCAAATTTGGGGTATTTTCGGCTATGTTGAACAAATATATGATAGAAAAGCATAGAGATCCATCATTCATTGGAAAAAGCTCTTTAAATTGCAGTTTGGGAAATGTTATAACACCTTATTAAGTTTCATTTTCAAGTTCACATGCAAATTCCCACACATTAATTTCAAATATCATGTTTCACGTGTAAATGGGACACCAAAAATGTTGGTGTCCCCTTTACACACGAAACAAAGTCTTTGTGGAGCGATTTTGTAATCAATGCATGTATTTCTGTGAAAGAAAACTTTGAATTTGGATTGAATTTAACTTCCAAATTCCAATCAAATTAACATTTAGTTGTATAAATAGCTTCATAGTACTTGAAGCTAGTTTTTTTTCGGTCATGTGACAGTCCACGAAAAACTATACAAAAGTGTATAAAAGCATAATTGAAGAGTTGGCCGACTCCAGTAACTCCATAATCATACAGACACAAATTTTGCTGCTTCTATTCAAATCACATCATCTGTGTTAATACCCTTTATCATTCCACAATCATCAGATTAATTGTACATTTCCAAATTATCATAATTGTTGACATGTTTCACGTGTAAAAGGGACACCAAATTTCAGCAACCATGTGGTCATTTCCAAATAATCGTTATGCATTTTGTTTTTCTTTTCATGAAGTTCCATGCAACATTTAATAATAACAATGTCAGCCTTTGTATTGTGTCACCCAAAGTTAAGAGACCATATTGTTTTGGATTATTTACACAGGTTATTATGCTGATGTCATCTCTCAACCTCAAGTGCCACGGAGTGTTAAATGAGTCAAGTTATACTTTGACATTCGCAATAAAGACTCACAAAACGCAGTTTTATTTAGTGTTGATTTATTTCAATGTTGACTTCAGTTCTCCATCTTCATGTTTTAATTAACATTATGTTAAATGTTTAGAGACCTCATCATTCATTGGAGGGGCGCCATCAACTAACATTATAGCAACAACAATCATTACAAAAAAGTTTTATATTGAGAATATAACGTTCATACTAACATTAACCTTTTCAGTTGATCATAATTCTTGTTCCTGTTCAGACAGAAATTTGTATCTCGCAGCTGATAAAAGCATTTGTTTATTGTTGACTTTAATTTTCCATCTTCAATTCTTCCTGTTTAATTATTACATTATGGTGTTTATTGACGTCATCATTGATTGGAGGGACGCCATCAGCCAAGTGAGCCAACTTTGCAACAACAATCATTACAAAAAAGTTTTATATTGAGAATATAACGTTCATACTAACAACCTTTTCAATTGATCATATTTCTTGTTCCTGTTTAGACTGAAATTATTGCTTTTTTATTTCAGGATAAAGTTTGTAAATGAATTCAATCAAGTTCATCATATTGGTGAACTTGTAAGTAACAGCTAGCTCTGCCATCAAATACTGGGAAGGGGTCGATCATAACTGTAAAAATATCAGACATAGGATGGGTTGCTTCTGACTCAGATGAAAAGTCGTACAGGTCCCTCTGTCTTTGTTGCATGAATCGAACTTGAATGGGAAGATGATGACACTGTAAAAAGTAAAGAATACAATAACTTGAGTAATTTTTAAAAACATAAAGAAATGGTGAACCATTGATTTTATAATTAAAATCACCATCCTTATAAATATTCAGGGCTGTCAACTTTGGGGAACTGCTTCGAGGGAGATCGTATGCAATTCTTTTTGTTGGGCTCAACGGGGCGGGGTTGTTCAGTAAAAAATAAAAATAAATAAAATTAAAAAATTAAAAAAAATTGAAGTGCCCACTACCCCCCCCCCCCCCCCCCCCCCCCCCCCCCCCCCCCCCCCCCGTTGAGTAAAAAAAAAAATGCCCTGAATATTCTGTTAATAAATATACAGAACTCAACATTGAATCGGTGCAGTCTCATGTTAAAATCATCAACTGATGAAATAAAGCCCTTTTCCCCGTGCGATTTGTTTATTTGTTTAAACTTGAAAACGCCAACACAAAATATCATATATGGGACTGGGTGCACGATCGTGACGCATTTTACGATGAGACTTTGATCGCTTTAAAATTCACATTTAACGAGCATTAGGCAATCCAAAATTATCATCTTTTAGATTAAGAACGAATTATACGTATAATTTAACGGAAATATTTCTAAAATGTAAAAGGAATATGTTTCAAACTACCGCAAAGCGATCAGATCAGAGTAACATCGTAAAATAGACACGAAAAAGATGTGCGTCGTGTCGATTTGTTTACGTAGTGATGAATTGGTGTCCTTCACAACGGTTACGGTATTAACAATATTTACGAGTAAAACAATAAATGAAGATGATTATTATTTGTAAAAACGTCTAAACTAGTCATTTTCTTGTTAAAACAGAAAAATGATGTTGCTTACCTTTGAATTCTGATTAGAAAGCCTCTCACAACGTAACATTCGTCCGCAATGTTCACAACGTAAACATGGGCGACACGAAACAATTTTGGTCTAAAAAATAATCGGAGTATCATCGCGGCAAGAACCGCATGGTAGTTTCATGCGATAGCTTCATCAGGGCTCTTTATCAACTGATTTGCTTGTTCATCAAGGCGCAGATCGTGTCGGGAGAACGATCTCAAAATTCACATCGTAAAATTTTGGCGAGACACCAATTTGTGAACTAAGAGAGTAGCAGTAATATTTTGACTCATTTTATTGCGATACCCATGTGATTCATATTTAATTCTAAGACCTTATTTGGCCTGATATTATAGGTATTATTTCTTCTGGTTTGTTGACATTTTATTCGAAAATATTTAAGCTTGAAAAGGTCCGTTTCATACGTAAAACTAGCGACACGAACATTTACGTTGTGAACAAAATTTTGCTTGCACAAAAAAAACAAGTTGTCATTACGATCGAAAAACGGGAACCGCACGATGTTTTACTTCAATATCGAAGATACATTTAATCACTAAGTTATTGCTCTCAACTGTTTTCCAAGATCTTTGTAGGATTTTATAGTAACAATACTTTTCATGTACCAAAAATACCACAAAAAAGTTGGAGACACGTCACATGTTTTCATTATTTTTTCTTTATTTATCCATCTTTTTTCTTTGTTTTTTCTTCCGGTGATATACTTTGATCCTTACTTAAAAATATTATGATTAAGAAAAATGTCCACACCACTCTAAATAACCACACGGATGAACTCAAAACAAAAACCACCCACGACACAGCTGGCCCCCAACTAAATGGAATGACCCATGTGAAAGTTGAATGGGATAAAACTAGAAATTTTAGAAATTTATATGTGGTAGATAATAATGTATAAAAATTTATAAAGCGCCTTTTCAGGCAAAATGTAAAAGGTGAAAAGAGGGGAAAGTTCAAGAAGGACAAAACGAAGAAAGAATATCTACAAATAACCTGTTAAAAATATGAAAGCAGATTACAAAATAAAATAAAGGACAAGTGCCAAAGATGAAGACCATTTAGCCATCCCAAGACAGCGTCTTCGAAAAAAGAAATGATCTGAAGAAGCAGACTACTCCTCTCTTGTTCTATTAGCCTTTAAACTGAGATGATCGTCCTCAGAGGAATAAATGATGAGAGGTTTATACTTGCTATCTATATAGAAGTATCACTCCCTCAATAAACCACTTGCCCATGCATGCAGAGCATCATAAAACACAAAACAAAATGAGAAGAACATACTATATATATTTATGACCCTTTAAAGCCCCAGATTCTAATTTCTAGTGAACTTTGATTTCTCTGGTTGGCTCTGAATATTATCAACAGGTGAACTTCATCTCTGAAGATCCAAAAGGGCTACTCTGTATAAAAATGTCATGTACAACAAATGTCATCGTTTATTTCATACAATCAAGATATTCAGTTATGCAGTTTTGCGACCATTGAATAATTTTTTTTTCTGATTTCAAGATGATAAGACCACATTGCCACTTCCTTCATACATTTTCTGTACAGTCACTCATCTTGAAATTGCCTCATATTGTCCAATATGACATCAACCTACATAAATTAACTCAAACATGTTGGGTTGTCTACTAAATACTAATAAGATGGATGTAAAACTTCATATTGTATTTGAGGTCTCTCTTGCTCTCGATTTCAAGATGAATTTAAAGTGTCATCCACCGTTTCTATAAATTGATATGATGCAGACACAAATCAAAAGCAGATTCTTACAAATACTCTCACTGAACCTCAATTAGAACTGTATCCAACTACAATAACCTGGCCTTTTAGGTAAAATCATTTTTTGAAGGTCAAAACATTGACATTCAAGAATTGAAAGTGACATGTTAATGCTTGGTTTGGTTCCCTGCATGAGGTTAGTGATAGAGATTAAGCATGTAATGGGCTCCTAACCAAAGCTGCCAAGGTTGGTTAACGATGAAACCTTGACAAAAAAATGAATATTCCTAAAAACTCCACATGACTAAATTGATGGATACACACACTTCTTGGGCTCTACAATGAATACCATGTTTGGAAATACCAATTCTAAAAGAAGACAAATTGTGGACCTCTTTGATAATCTCCAAGTTTTGTCTCTTTCATTCCACTTCTCTTTATCGCTATATAAAAAGTTGGTTTTTGAATTAATCAATCCTTTACAATTTACATCTCTCTTTGGACAAATCTGTCTTCCATTTTCCTTCTAAAACAATTTTTGTTTCTTCTGTCCCTCTCCAGTCTGTCTGCCTGTCTCTTTCTTTCTCTCTCTCTCAACCCCTTTCTCTTTGTCTATCTGTCTCTCTCTCTTTCTGTCTTTCTTTCTCCCCATCCCCTCTTGTCTCTGTCTGTATGCCTGTCTGTCTCTGTGTGTGTGTGTCTGTCTCTCTATCTATATCTACCTCCCTTCTCCCTCTCCCGTTCTCTCTGCTTTCCTTCCATGGTACCAGACATCTCTCAAAAGTCTTAATATGAAGACTACATCAACTTCCTATACAATGCCAACCTCCTTCCAGCCTTTTTACACCCACAAGCTGACCCGAGGTCACGACCCCATAACCCCTACATGTCATACAATCAGAAGGTCCACCTTCCTCCCAGTACTTTAGTCATTTGCTGTCAAATGAAATCAAATAAAATATCAAGATGGGGAATCTAATAGAGTGGTTGGTTTGAGAGAGAACAATCTGATCAGAAAGAACAATGCAGGGCAGATACATACAGGCAGAACTCACAAACAGTTGAGTTCTAAAGTGATATAAAAACATGTATAAAGTCCACACCGAGTGCAATGTGAATTCAGCTTTTTTGGTCTGGCTCAAGTATGACTCAACCCTCTTATACATTGAAAAAAGGAGGAATAAAAAATATTCTTGATAACTTACATACCTTAAAGGAGTAGGCCAACTGTAAAGTTATTGGAAAAAACTAAGATCGCTAGTGATATATAAAATGTAACCCCTTGGATATAATTCAATATTCGTGCAACAAATATTCTCCACAAACACCAAACACCACACAACGTTATCTCAGACCAGGGAATAATTTTCCTGGTATCGCATCGCAATTTGCTATGCATTTTTGCATGACTGCTATACAAAATATTGTTTGTGTAGCAGTTTTCTTCCATAGAAATGTACAGAATTTCATTTGAAATATTTATCCATCAGCTGAAATTGCTAATCAAAATATTTGAGGAAAATTATTCCCTGCAGACTTTGAATTCAACTGGTTAAAGTTTGCTTGACCATGAAGGCATACCTTTATAGCACTGTAAAACAACTTTCAGCTGTATGAAATGTTCACAAATGTTATGAGTGGGTCACAACACCCATACAAGTTTTTCTATTCTTGATGTGAAAAATAGTTTATTGCTGTGAACATTGCAGTCATTCACAATTTGCGACAGTTTCATGACACAGAGGTTTCTGGTTGACATTTTATCAATCATCAGGTCATTGTACTCTATATAACAACAGGTGAACTAATTCTTTTTGAAAAGGTTAATAAAAGCAAAAATAATAAAAGCGTGTTAACCAAAATAGATGTGCAATATATGGAGAGTGTATATAGATCAAGATATAACCATTGTTTTATTGGGAGATAATTCCTTTTTGATTCTGCTGTGGTCATATTGAATTGAAAGTGACACAATGTATTGCACCTTACACTCAGATCGGTCTAGACTAAGTAATCAGGATTTGATGAGTAGGAAGGCAGTCACGTTCACACAATCTCATATATTTACAAATTTACTTCATTTACATCGGAGAGAGACTTCTCATTACATTCCTCTTGTACTGGATGCAATCCATGTATCCCATAGTTACAAGCTAATACAGGAAGCCTATTATTCACTTCCAACTGTAATTAGATTATGAGCCAACACTGACAATTATGGAATATGACAAATTTGTTTTTATTGTGGTCTAACCAATAATCTCTCTCAATAAATCCCTCTTCAATGAGAATGACTAAGTGGCTAATTGTTGAGCAGGTAGCACATGGTAATAATAACAATAATATTATGTCCTTTTATCAGCGCAGCTACTATATAAATATACTCTACTCAGCTTAATGAGAAGTATCACATTATTATCCCGGATGTAGTTGAGCCGCCATAATAAGGTGCTACAGCATTTCATGGAATTGTTTCCTACTGATGAATTCGGGGTTTTGTTCTTTTGTTCTCTTTCTGGGCAACATATTCAAACAAATTTTAATTTAAAACCAATCTCTTTGAGAAAATGAAACACAATTAATTTGACTGGATCAAGAACGGGGACAGCTCCACTGGAACTATGCTTCTTGCTATTTTTGTTCAGGCATGTTTGTACGTCTTGAATATTTACTCTATACACCTATGATATTTACCCCCAACCCCTCCAAACAGTTAAAGCACATTATTATTATTATTTTATTATTATTTTATTTGGCAAATCAAGTCACATAATACAACAATAACAACATACATGTATCAACTCAAGACCCTGTTTTTCAATGGATTTTTAAAATAAAGCGAACATTCTCTCTTCAGTTATACAAATAAAATAAAATGAGGAAACTCTGGAACAATGTAATAACTCATCATCCCTTCTTCCGTATGTTGACACAGATGGCTTTTGGATGTTGAACTATGTTCATTAACTAAAAATAATACATCTTTCAATTTCAAAGAGAAGGGAGCATCCATCGTCATAGAAACAAAGAGATGCTATCCATTCCATTGAGAGTGAATGATGATAGCAAGCAAGGGAAGCTGAATGGAGTCACGTCTTGGAGAAATAAGAGATACAGGAGAGAAAGACGGGTGTATATGGGTGCATAAAACTCATTAACATGATATCAGTTCCTCGTTTCTACAATTTGCCTTGTATCTTTCATCTAATGCACAGGCACAATCCCTTGTCCTCCGTTTAGCTCAACAGTGTCTGTACTTTGAGACTAGACTGACAGCATACTGCATAGGCTCTTGACACAGCCACAGACTGGTAGAACTAGGCTCTGCTCAAGGCTTTAGGAATTGTGGCTAAGTGTCACATTAGAGTCCATGCCTGCGGACTATGTTAAATCCTTCTCTTGCAACTTTAATTCTGTCCCTACTCTATACAAATATTTTCTTTGATAACAGTTCATATTTCCCATCTTCAGTACCCCATCTTCTCTCTTTGCAACTTTTAGCATGACGTCCAGCAAGACACTCTTCGGAGACCCGCTCGGAGGCGCAGTTGCATCTTTCGCACTCCCGGAAGAACGTTCTCGTGTCACAAGTGAGAAAGAGTCCTAGCTATACCTCTAGTGAAATTAGGGTGAACATTCACAGAGCTGACAAAGAGCGGACCATGCACTTCAGAATTCAATTCCAATTCCAATCCCAGTATTGGATCTGTTCTACTTACTTTGAGAATAATGTTCTAAAGGGTAGGGTTAAAGATGAAGTTGAAGTTGAGTTCTGGTCATGCGATTGCATTGTGAAAGAAACGTTGTGGAATCGATCAGAAAAGGTTGTTCATCTAGCATATAAGTATTGGTGTGTACTGCAAGGTTCTGGTATCATCAAAATGATAAGAAATTTGGCCCAGTCTTGGTAAAGTTACAAACACTGTACACAGAAATATGTATATGGGACTACACGATCATGTGACATAAAAATCTGTCCGATTTTTATAATGTTACATGCCATATTTAGAATATTAAGGCATTTGAAGAGCCATGCTTTTTAGAGAACATGTTTCATCTGATGTTCTTCCACACTATCATACTACGCTCACAAATTATTTTTCACCTC